ATAGTGCCAAGAATGTCTACATTGTTTATTTTGGACTATTTTGAAACTGGCATCTTTTTTAATTTGCATGAAATTGGCCAAATTGCCAATTTCTGACCACTTTATTGGGAAGTTCAAATCAGTAAATGGGCAGCTTCTTGTACTCAACTGATAGAAAAAACTGAGTTCTAAAGAAATAGCTATGAGTTTGGTCAACTGGAACAACGGAATTGGCCAAGAACAGGGCTGAAAGTTGGCTAAATCGCCGATGCGTATATGTCGCCAAGACCAATAACTTCGCGGGAGCCTAATTCCGTGAGTTTTCGACCAAATTTTGTACATTTGGTGTCATTACCATCGAGAAAAGATTCTCTATCATTTCATAAGAAAAAATAATTTTTTTCCCAAAAATTTTGCAACAAAGAATGACAGTTTCAGAAAGGGGCTTGCGACAGTCAAAGGTTTAAGATTTGGCCTCTGGACCCAGAAAGGGTCAATAGAGAAAAATGCCTTAAATAACAGATTTAGGTGTACACAAACAACAGGAAGTGGGGACAATTGATGCGTGCAAAAAAATGGCACGGAATGTGAAAATTGACGCAGCTGTGTTTGTTCGGCACCCGATTATGTGTTCATGACCAGATGCAAAAGTTTGGCAAATTTTTTGGTTGTGAACCGATTTGTTTGTGTTCAGAAGGGTTCACGACCAGAGGTTCCACTGTATATGACAACCTGTTCAAAGACTACGTCAATGAAAGTCCCAAAAATTTGGAACTTGTTGCCAGAAAACAGTAAAAATTCCCTATCTGCCAAAATTTTTACTTATATTGTTAAAAACATTAATCCTCACATAAATGTTATATTCCTTAACTGTCTGTAAATTCTTATACTTTAGTTACACCACCTCAATGCATATAACTAAGATACAAGTCAAAAATGAAGTTTGTTCTGTTCCAGACTAAAAAATGCAATATTTTTTCAGTGAAAGCAAAACAATTTTTAACCACTTCGGTGTCAGTCCCGTACAATTACGGCTTTGAAGCCAGTAACGGTCCTGTAAAACAACGCCAAAATTCTAGCGGCTTCAAATCTTGTGGGAGAAAGCTGGTAGGCCTACATACGAGAGAATGGGTCTGCATGGTCAGTGTGCGCAGTCTAAAAAAAAAAATCCTGCAGCAAGCAGTGCACGAGAAAAAAAAAACTGTGACCGTGTTTTTGGTTTAAAATAATAACTCTGTGGTGTATTTTTGTATGGTATTTATGGTTGCATTCTCACTTTTTGGTTTCATTTGATAGAATGGAAGATATACTACAGAAATAGAGGAGATTTTGAATGGTTTACTGACTAAAAGTAGCTTGAAATTAAGCTCAAAGTAGCAGACATGTTCAATTTTGACAACGTTCAAGAGTAAACAAATTATGTTACGTGTTCAATACACATCAACTGATGGGTCTAATGTGCATTCAGGAATGCACTAATATTATTTATGCAATTATTATCATTATGCAGTAGCCTGAATAACAGTAAATCATAAATTTTTTGTGTTAATAAAAATTCTAAATGAAAATCAAGCATAATGTAAGAGGGGCCTGGAGACGTGACTAATGAACGAGAAAATGTTATTTAACCCTTTGACTTTTGAGACCTCAAATCCTGAAGTCTCTCTCTGTCACAAAATATTTGAAAAAAAAAAAAAAAAAAAAAAAAGTTCTTATCAAATAATAAGAGAATTTTTTCCCAATGGTAATGACACCAAAAGTACAAAATTTGAAGTTAGCAATCTTGGCAATATACATGCACTGGCGATTTCACCCACTCTAAGCCTATTTTCGGCCAATTCCATTCTTCCAATCAACCAAACTCACAGCTATTTCTTTACAACTCCATTTGTTCTATCGATTGAGTACAAGAAACAGCGCATTTACCGATTTCAACTACCCAATAAAGTGGTCAGAAATTGGCAATTTGGCCAATTTAACACATTTCTTCTAAAAATGGTGTTACATGAGAATGGGAGTGTTCCTCTTTATTTATTCTACTGTATCAATGTGTAGACAATTTGTACACAATGTAAAGTGTTTGTATTATGGTATAATACAAATGTGTATGAACCAAAACCGGATGCGTTAGTCTCTTCGTTCACATTGCTTCTCTGTCCTCTCATTCTTTCTCTCTCTTGTTTATTCATTTGAGCTCATTTATTCATCTCTCACCCTACATTAAGACTACAAATATTTTAAGGTAATTAACCCTTTGAGGGTCAAGAGGGCCTCTCCCAAACTCGTTCTCAGGGTCAAAAAATCTTTAAAAAAAAAAAAATTCTTATAAAATGATAATCTTTTTCTGATCATAATGACACCAAAAGTAAGAAATTTGATAAAAAAAAAACTTACGGAATTATGCTCTTGTGAAGTTAACGGTCTCAAAGTCAGCGATTTTGCCAAATTTGGGCCCTATTTTCGGCCAATTCCAATGTTGCAGTTGACTAAAATCATAGTTATTTCCCTAGAACTCTATTAGTTCCATCGATTGAGTACAAGAATTCGCCCATTTACCGATTTCAACTACCCAATAAAGTAGTCAGAAATTGGCAATTTGGGCAATTTCACACAAATTTCAGAAGATGCCAATTTCAAAATAGGGCTCAGAATAAACAAGACAGACATTCATGGCACTAAAATAACATTTTATCTGTTCATCAGTCATGTCTCTAGGCCCCTCTTACATTACTTTTGCTTTCCATTTTGAATTTTTATTCTCACAGACAATAGAAAGTTTTCTGTTATGTATACTACTGCATCATTGTAAAAATGGTATAAATGATATCAGCGCACTTATGAAAGAATATTAGACTCACCAGTTGACATGTATTGGACGCGTGGCTTGATTTGTTTACTCTTGAATATCGGCAAAAATTTATCATTTTCGCTACTTTGAGCTCAATTTCAAGGTACTTGTCATCGTGAAACCAATCAAAATCATCTCTACTTCTGTAATATATCTTCCATTCTATCAAATGCAATGAAGGAAATGAGAATACACCCATAAATACCATACATAAATTCACTCGAAAGTCGCTGTTTTAAACCAAAAACACAGTCAAAGTTTTTCTTTCTCATTATGCACAGCGTGCTTCAGGATTTTTTTTACTGTGCACACTGGCCACACAGACCCATTCTTTCATATGTAGGCCTGCCAGCTTTCTTTCGCGAGATCTGAAGGCACTAGAATTTAAGCGTACAAGTACGTGACCAACCCTAGCTGCAATGACGTACTTTTATGTGACTAACCCTCAAAGGGTTAATGAATGTACTGTATATGTATTTTATCACTCTGGAGCACTTTAAATATCATAATACATTACGTGTGGGTGGAGAGGGATGTGCTGGCCTGGCTGGCTACCATACACCTGACTTCCTACAAATAAATACGACTCACCTCTCACCCTACATTAAGGCTACAAATATTTTAAGGTAAGTAATGGGTGTACTGTGTGTGTATTTTACTTTTTATTGTTTTTAACCCTTTCAGAGTTGAGACCCCTGATCCTGAACTTGCTCTCAGAGTCGAAAATTTAAAAAAAAATTATATTATCCTTATGAAATGTTAGAGAATCCTTTCCTAATGATAATGGCACCAAAAGTATGAGATTTGATGGAAAACTTACAGAATTGTGCTCTCACGAAGTTAGTGGCCTCGGCAATACTTACGCATCGGCGATTTCGTCCACTTTGAGTCCTATTTTCGGCCAATTCCAATGTTCCAGTCCACTAAAATCATAGCTATTTCACTAGAGCTCCATTTGTTTTATTGAATGAATACAAGGAACCGTCCATTTACCAATTTCAACTACCAAATGAAGTGGTTAAAAATTGGCATTTTGACCAATTTCACACAAATTTCAAAAGATGCCAATTTCAAAACAAGGTCCAGAATAAACAATGTAGACACTCTTGGCACTAAAGTAACATTTTTTCTGTTCATTAGTCACGTCTCCAGGCCCCTCTCAAATTATTCTTGCTTTCTATTTTGAATTTTTATTCACACAAAAAATAGAAGATTTACTGTTATGCATTACTGTAATAATTGTATAAATAATGTCAACCTATTTGTGGCTATATATTAGAATGGCTAGTTGGATACTTACTTACTCGAACATTTCCTCTAATTTGAGCTCAATTTCTAGGTCCTTTTCTTTGTGAAACCAATCAAAATCATTTCTATTTCTCTAATAAGTCTTCAATTCTATCAAACCAGACCAAGAAAACGAGAACACAACCATAAATACTATAGGAAAACACACCTCAAAGTCAGTGCTTTAATCTAAAAACATGGTCAGAGTTTATTTTTCATTATGCACTGTGTGCTGCTGGATTTTTTTATACTGTGCACAATGACCACACAGACCCATTCTCTCACATGTGGACCTACCAGCTTTCTCCCACTTGATTTGAAGCCGCTAGAATTTTGGCGTATTAATACGTCAAAAACACTGGCTCATAAAATGTATTTATACGATACCGACAGTCAAAGAGTTAAGTGCCAGGAATGTCTGCACTGTTCATTCCTGCCCCTATTCTGATATTTGGCTTTCTTGAATTTTGTGTGAAACTGGCTAATTTAGTAATTTCTGATTGCTTTTTTGTGTAGTTGAAATGGGTAAATGGGCAGTTTCTTGTACTAAATCAATAGAATAAAAGAAGTTCTAGTGAAACAGCTATGAGTTTGGGCAAGTGAAACAAAGGAATTGGCCCAAAATAAGGCTGAAAGTAGGCAAAATCACTGATGCATAAATATCAGAGAGACCACTAACTTCACAAGAGCGTAATTCCATAAGTTTTCCATCAAATTTTGAACTTTTGGTTTCATTACCTTTGGAAAAAGATTATCATGATAATTTTTTTTTTTAAATTCTTCGACACTACGAGCAAATTTGTGAGCAGGGTTCTCGGCACTCAAAGGGTTAATAAGATCAGAGGTTTTTATCATGGATTTATACAAAGAATAAAAGAATACTTACATTTTCATGTTGCTGAACCAGATGAAGTTCTGTTTTGAGGCACTCACGTATAATAGAGACTAAAGCAAGGGGATTATTATTCAGGTACCGAGTCTGAAATAAAAAGACAGATTTTAATAAATGCACTTACAATAATACATTAATAAACAATATTTAATTTTATACAAGTAAGTAGTTTATAATTTCCTAGGTAGTAGGTTGGTAGACACCCACCCACCCAGGGAGGTACTACCATCCTGCCAATTGAGTGTGAAAAAGGACGCCAAAAATTGTTTTACATGATGGAAGGATTGCTGGTATCTTTTTTCTGTCTCATAAACATGCAAAATTTCAGGTATGTCTTGCTACTTCTACTTATACTTAGGTCACACTGCACATGCATGTACAAGCATATACATGTATATACATACCCCTCTGGGTTTTCTTCTATTTTCTTTATAGCTCTTATTCTTGTTTATTTCCTTTTATTTCCATAGGAAAGTGGAACAGATTTCTTCCTCCATAAGCCATGCCTGTCATAGTATAAAGGTGACTAACATGCCAGGAGCAAGGGGCAGGTGACCCCTTCTCCTATATACATTACTAAAGTTATAAAGAGAAACTTTTGTTTTTCTTTGTGGGCCACCCTGTTTCAGTGGGATTTGACCAGTTTGTTGAAAAAAGAAGAAAGAAGTTTATAATCTGAGGTATTTGAAGGTATCGGGGGGCTGATAAAATTTAAAAAGGGAAAGAAAGATTTTACAAAAGGGCCCTCTACAATGGAACCTTTGCCCTTACGAGTGCCCCAACAAAGGAGTTTTTTTAGAACGAGCCGTCGATGGGGTCGATTTTTTCCCTCCATTTACAAGCCAACATTTGGGTTTACGACCCGGGCCCCCCCCCCTTCCCCCTCAACCCAAAACCTGGACACTTCTCTTGTTTATCTATGATTTCATGCTTTAATTCCACGGAAATCATCCTTTTTCTTATCAGCACTGTCCTTTACACTTACTTTCTTAGAACCCATGGTTAGAAAAGCAAAATTTGGCCAAATGACTGTAAAAATGTAAGCAAATCAGGAGAGAACTACTCCCACAGTGAGGTATACAGTGCACCGAGTTGGCTTTGTTCCGAAGCTCTCGTTATAATAATGTATTATTATTATTAATTTAGGGAACTGAAGCTCTATCATTATTGTAATTATTATTATTACAATTATTATTGATAATTTAGGGAACTGAAGCTCTATCATTATTATATTTTTTATTTTAATATTATTATTTTATTATTATTAATAATAATAATTTAGAGAACTTGAGCACATAATCCAATTCCCTAGATCAAGATCCCCTCACCAGTGTCAAGGTTCCTTGACTCTGGTGAGGGTCTCTTGATCTAGGGAATTGGATATGTGCTCTAGTTCCCTAAATTAATAATAATAATAATAATAATAATAAATTATTATTATTATTATTATTATTAAAAAGATAGAGCTTCAGTTCTCTAAATTATCAATAACAACAATAATTATTATTACAATAACGATAAGAGCTTCAGTTCACTAAATTAATAATAATAATAATAATGTACATAATACGTAGGTAATAATAATTCATGATGCTGCCGCTAGTTGACAGTACACATGTTTAAATCACCGTCGAAGCAGTTCTCTCCTGCTTTGCTAACAATTTTGATAGTCATTTGGTCAAATTTCACTTTTCTAACCATGGGTCCTAAGAAAATAAGTGCAAAGGACAGTGCTGAGAAGAAAAAGACAATGATTTCCATGGAATTAATGCATGAAATCATAGATAAACATAAGCATGGTGCACGAGTTGTGGATTTAGCCAGACAATACCAGCGCAGTACATCTACTATATGTACGATACTAAAGCAGCAGGAGTCGATAAAGGCTATAGCACCAGCCAAGGATGCGCATTACAATAACATCTAAGCTGCGGACCTCTGTCCATGAAAAGATGGAGAAGCTGCTGCTGACGTGGTTGAGAGAGAAGCAGCTCACAGGAGATACCATATCAGTCATGTTCAGTGATTAACCCTTACAGGGTTGGCAGGCCCTCTCCTAATGACACCAAAAGTATGAAATTTGATGAAAAACTTACAGAATTATGTTCTCGTGAAGTTAGTGGTCTTGGCAATGTTTACGCATCGGTGATTTTGCCCACTTTGAGCCCTATTTTCGGCCAATTCCAATGTACCAGTCAACAAAAATCATAACTATTTCGCTGGAACTCCATTTTTTCTATCGAATGATTACAAGAAACCACCCATTTACCGATTTCAACTACCCAGTAAAGTGGTCAGAAATTGGCAATTTTGCCAATTTCACTCAAATTTCAAAAGATGCCAATTTCCAAATAGGGTCCAGAATAAACAAGACAGACATTCCTGGTACTAAAATAACATTTCCTCTGTTCATTAGTCACATCCCCAGGCCTCTGTTACATTTCTTTTGCTTTCCACTTTGAATTTTTATTCTCACAAAAAAATAGAAGATTTACTGTTATGCAGACTACTGCATTAGTGTAGAAATGGTGTAGAAATGGTATAAATAAATAACAAAAAAAAGGTACAATACCATGACTGGAACAATACACAAATAACCCGCACAGAGAAGAGAGGAGCTTATAATGACGTTTCGGTCCAACTTGGACCATTTACAAAGTCACACTAACAAGAAGTGGAGCAGGACGGATATATAGGTGGCGGCGGCGGCAGCGGCGGTGGCGGCAGCAGCAGCAGCAGCTGGTGGTGGTGGCGGCGGCAGCGGTGGTGGTAGTAGTAGTGGTGGTAGTAGTAGTGGTGGTAGTAGTGGTGGTAGTAGTAGTGGTGGTAGTAGTGGTGGTAGTAGTAGTGGTGGTGGTAGTAGTAGTGGTGGTAGTAGTGGTGGTAGTAGTAGTAGTAGTAGTGGTGGTAGTAGTAGTAGTAGTAGTAGTGGTGGTGGTAGTAGTAGTAGTAGTGGTGGTAGTAGTGGTGGTAGTGGTAGTAGTGGTGGTAGTAGTAGTGGTGGTAGTAGTAGTAGTGGTGGGGGTGGTAGTAGTGGTGGTGGTAGTAGTGGTGGTGGTGGTGGTAGTAGTAGTAGTAGTAGTGGTGGTGGTAGTAGTAGTAGTGGTGGTGGTAGTAGTAGTAGTAGTAGTTGTAGTAGTTGTAGTAGTTGTAGTTGTAGTAGCAGTAGTTGTAGTAGTAGCAGTAGTTGTAGTAGTAGCAGTAGTAGTAGTAGTAGTAGTAGTAGTAGTAGTAGTAGTAGTAGTAGTAGTAGTAGTAGTAGTAGTAGTAGTAGTAGTAGTAGTAGTAGCAGCAGTAGTTGTAGTAGTAGTAGTTGTAGTAGTGGTGGGGAATAATGAAGAGGAGGAGCCAGTCAAATGCAAAGAAAGGGGAGCACTGCAAGGGAGCTAGGTGCCCACAGAGGGAGAGCAAGTACACAGAGGTGAGGGGGGGAGGGGAAGTAATGAAATAAATAATGAAGGAACAGAAACACAAGACAGAAGAAAGAAAGACAACCCAGAAGAGAAAAGAAAAAAGGAAAGAGGAAAGGGGAAGAGGGAGAAGAAGAAAAAAGGAGGAATCAGGTTAAGTCACGGGTGTTCTGAAGTTTGGAGCATTTTACAATGTAGTGGGAGAGGAAGGCACTACAGAGATGAAGCTAGGACTAAGATTCATACAAGGGAAGTTGTGTATTAGGGAGGATTCAACCAGACGGCGACTGTTAAAGTTGGAAGTAGGGAAGACAGTTTTAGCAGAAGACCAGTCAATAGGATGGCTGTGACGTGACAGAAAAGAGCATTATTAGTGTCGGCAAGCCTAACACTATTTTTGTGCTCCCTAAGTCTGTCAGAAAGAGATCGACTAGTTTCTCCAAAGTATTGAAGAGGACAGGAGGAGCAAGAAATAGAGTAGACACCAGGAACATCTGTAGAGGGAGGAGAGGTATGAACGAGATTAGTGCGAAGAGTGTTAGTCTGGTGGAAAGTAATCTTGATGTCTAAGGGACGGAGAGAATTGCTGAGATTAGAAAGACCGGAAATGTAGGGAAGGCAGAGGACAGAAGAGTTCCCAGGAGTAGAGTGTTTGAGCACAGAGGCATTGTAAGGGGAGGGGCCTGCCCCGGGTATCACCATCTAGGGGGGTGACACCATAGAGCCTCTGAAGAAGGTGACAGTAATGACCAAAACAGTGCTGTACCAACATAAGAGAAGAATCCTTCGTTGATTTTGATTATGTGATAGATTGATTTGGATGATGTGATAAATGATTTTGCATAATTGAAGGCAAGGAAATGTAAGATCAGATTTACTGTGATGTTACCTGTACTCAAGGTCATATCAGAACTAGTGTTTCTCTGATACTGCAATGTTTTTCAATTATTTTTTTTGTTTTTGCATTGTTGAAGATGAATAAATGTAGGATCTGTTGGCTGTACTCAAAGTGGTATCTGAGTTTATGTTTCCTCAATATTACAACGATTATTTATTTTATCATTAATAAAGTTGAGAAGTATTCTCCTGTTTAGTTTATGGCCCTTAGTCACTGGTCATGCAGTAGTGACATAACTGAAATTTACTACCCCCCATCCCCCCACCCTTGGATTTCATGGGGGTGACACCAAAGATGCTGCCCCGGGTGACACCAGAGATTCCGCTCCGGGTGACACCAACTCTAGCGACACCTCTGTTTGGGCACCTAGCTCCCTTGCAGTGCTCCCCTTTCTTTGCATTTGACTGGCTCCTCCTCCTCTACCACTACCTCTTCCTGCCTATATATATCTGTCCTGCTCCACTTCTCGTTAGTGTGACTTTGTAAATGGTCCAAGTCGAACCGAAACATCATCATAAGCTCCTTTCTTCTATGTGCGGGTTATTTGTGTATGGTATAAATAACATCAGCGCACTTGTGAAAGAATATTAGACTCACCAGTTGATGTGTATTGGACGCGTGGCACGATTTGTTTACTGTTGAACTTTGGCAAAAAATCGAACATTTCTGCTACTTTGAGCTCAATTTCAAGGTACTTTTCATTGTAAAACCAATCAAAATCATCTCAATTTCCATAATATGTCTTCCATTCTACAAAATGCGACAAGGAAAACTAGAATACAACCATAAATAGCATACGAAAATACACTGCAAAGTTG